GATTTGTGAGTGCAAAGTCAGTGATTTGTGAGTGCAAAATGAGTGATTTGTGAGTGCAAAGTCAGTGATTTGTGAGTGCAAAGTCAGTGATTTGTGTGTGCAAAGTCAGTGTTTTGTGAGTGCAAAATCTGATTTGTGAGTGCAAAGTCGGTGATTTGTGAGTGCAAAGTCAGTGATTTGTGAGTGCAAAGTCAGTGATTTGTGAGTGCAAAGTTGGTGATTTGTGAGTGCAAAGTCAGTGATTTGTGAGCGCAAAGTCAGTGATTTGTGAGCGCAAAGTCCGTGATTTGTGAGTGCACAGTCAGTGATTTGTGAGTGCACAGTCAGTGATTTGGGAGTGCAAAGTCAGTGATTTGGGAGTGCAAAGTCAGTGATTTGTGAGTGCAAATTGAGTGATTTGTGAGTGCAAAGTGAGTGATTTGTGAGTGCAAAATGAGTGATTTGTGAGTGCAAAGTCAGTGATTTGTGAGTGCAAAGTCAGTGATTTGTGAGTGCAAAGTCAGTGATTTGGGAGTGCAAAGTCAGTGATTTGGGAGTGCAAAGTCAGTGATTTGTGAGTGCAAAGTCAGTGATTTGTGAGTGCAGAGTCAGTGATTTGTGAGTGCAGAGTCAGTGATTTGTGAGTGCAAAGTCAGTGATTTGTGAGTGCAGAATCAGTGATTTGTGAGTGCAAAGCCAGTGATTTGTGAGTGCAAAGTGAGTGGTTTGTGAGTGCAAAGTCAGTGATTTGTGAGTGCAAAATCAGTGATTTGTGAGTGCAAAGTCAGTGATTTGTGAGTGCAAAGTCGGTGATTTGTGAGTGCAAATTCTGTGATTTGTGAGTGCAAAATCAGTGATTTGTTGGTAAACCATGGCAGGAAGCCTCCTTTGAGTACCTGCAGAACGAGGGGGAGCGTTTGCTGCTGGAGGCCATGGATGAGCTGGAGGTKGCCTTCAACAACACCAACGTGCGCACGGACTGCAACCACATCTTCCTCAACTTYGTGCCCACYGTCATCATGGACCCCTCCAAGGTGGGAGCTCCTCCCCAGCTCGGGGCTGTTTGTCTTTCCAGGGCTTCCTTTGTCAGAATTAAAAGGTCTTCTGTTGATGGAATCACTGAATCATGGAATGGTTTGGGTGGAAGGGATCTTAAAGGTCATCCTGTTCCAACCCCGACACTTTCCACCATCTCAGGGTGCTCCAAATTCCATCCAGCCTGGCCTTGGGCATTTCCAGGGATCCAGGGGCAGCCACAGCTTCTCTGGGCACCCTGTGCCAGGACCTYCCCMYCCTCACAGTCAGGAATTYSTTCCCARTATTCCATCTAACCCCATCCTCTGGCAATTTAAAGCCATTTTGTTGTGCAGCTTAGCTCCTCTGGGTAAACTGAGGAACAATTATTAGAAATACATTCTGTGCTAAACCTATTTTTTCATTGTGTGTTGAGTGATRAACAGTTTTAATAAGGAAGTAGATGAAAATGCTCTTCTGGTTGTTGCAAAAGTCCAGATTCCATCCAGATAAACCATGGGATAAATTAGGAGCTTAAAAAGAATCTGTAAATTCAGCTACAGAAGTGCCTCGTTCTCAATCTCTGATATAAAACCACAGAGATCAATGTTATAAATAATGAACATTAAACTTTGCAGATGCACAGGTGACAGTGTTCAGGTTTAAAGGATGTTTGTGGTTAGCACAACCACCACGAGGCAAGTCCCAAGTCTGAACTGAATTTAGCTAAAAATCAGCATTCAGTTCATGGTACCCAGAGATGAGAGCTGACCTTTCCTGAGGAGAACAACCAAAAGTTTAAGAAGATGAATTGGGTATCAAAAGAACTCTCTCTTGCTTGCTGACTTTTAAATCATGATTAAAAATTGGTGGCTTAAATCACTTTTGAATGAGCCTTTCCTGGTGCATCCAGAGCTGTTGGTTCCTGGGAAGTTCAGCAGAATCTGGGATGTTCATCCCTGGAAGTTGGGCTGCCCTCAGATACACACCACGACTTCTCCTTGAGCTGCTGTGCAAAAGAGACTTTTTTTGGGAAAAATGTTTAACCCAGCCTATAAATTGCCTTCTTTTAATATGCGCTTTGCCCGCAGTAGTATTTTATAAAGTTATAATAGAAGAGCAGGAGGCCCAGCTCCAAGTGGTAATTGCTTTGTTGATTTAAAGCTCCGTGCAGGCAGTGAAATGTGATTATTGTGCATACAAGGGCTACAGAGGATTTGGTTTTCCTTGGTTCTGCAGCTCCCTGGTGTGAGTGGTGCCTGCAGAGGGAAAGGGTCCCTGTGCTGGGCTGGGTGTGGTGGTTGGACTGGATGATCTTCAAGGTCTCTTCCAACCCAATGGTTCTGTGATTCCATGATGGAACAGGGATGGGAATCCAGCACTGTCCCGCTCCATCAGCAGTGCCCAGGATGAATTCCTGGCTTAGGGTGAGGAGGGATGGGTCCCCAAGGTCCTGTGTGGTGTGTGCTGCTGCTTCATCACCTTGGAGCAGGGGGATGGAGGGGACACGGAGCAGGRGATGGATCCAGAAAGAATCCCAGAAYGGTTTGGGTTGGAAGGGAGCTCAGAGCCCATCTCATCCCCCTGTGGCAGTGACAGGGACCCTTCCCACAGAGCAGTGTGACTCAGGGAGCTCTTTTGGTGTGTTCCCAGATCGAGGAGTCGGTGCGCTCCATGGTGATGCGCTACGGCAGCCGCCTCTGGAAGCTGCGCGTGCTCCAGGCCGAGCTGAAGATCAACATCCGCCTGACCCCCACGGGCAAAGCCATCCCCATCCGCCTCTTCCTCACCAAYGAGTCGGGATACTACCTGGACATCAGCCTCTACAAGGAGGTGACAGACTCCAGGACRGGGCAGGTACGTCCCTGCAGAGCTGAGCGCCTTGGGGAGGGGACACATCTTACCTGATGGAGATATTCTGTGGTGTTTGCAGGTGATCCACAATCCAAGATGGTTGGGATTGAAGGCACCTTAAAACCCATCCCATTCCAACCCATCCCATTCCAACCCATCATCCCATTCCAACCCATCCCATTCCAGCCCATCCCATTCCAACCCATCCCATTCCAACCCATCATCCCATTCCAACCCATCCCATTCCAGCCCATCCCATTCCAACCCATCCCATTCCAACCCCTTCCCTTAAAGCAGGTTGCTCCAAGCCCCACAGTGCATTTTAATGCAATAGGAAATTGCCATTCAACTTAGCCAAAGGAAGGAGAATGTGAAGATAAACTTGCAGCAGTAGATGTGAAAATGACTGACTTCATTGATCACAAGTCCTCTGGTTGTTTTGTACCTTCCCTCAGTCATTTGGGCAGCTGTTATCCCAAAGAGTTTTTCTCCATGCTCAAAAAAGTATTCCTTCCTAGAAAAGGAATCACTGCTGATGCTCATCCTGCAGGCTGTAGTAAAAATTACTATTAATGATACATTTCCCTGAGCAGATGGAAAAAAATCYGTGAACTTGTCCTTTAAATTCTAAAGATATAGGGAATGACCTGGGTAGGATGATGTAAAATTACAGAAGGCTTTTTTATATCATTTTTATGAAGTTCAATGGGCTCTTTTGTAATGGTTGTGGCTGTTGTGGTATTTCTGTTTCTSGTGGTGCAGGAACACTGTGGTTAAYTGAAATACCCACATATGCTAAAATCCATGGAGCATGGGATGCATGGAAAATATTTAAATAGAGAAATGTTTACATCTCCCTCCGTAATCATCTCTCTGCCAAGCAGGGGAAGCAGCAGAATAAATCACTTGGGCGCTGTGAATGTAGAAACACAAAGTGCTGAGTCACCTTTTCTCCCCCTTTTTCCATTTAATTTTTCCAGTGAGCTGCTGGCCGTGGAGTCCATCCAGCTCTGAGATCCCAGAACAGATAGTGTCAGGGTGTTTTACCTCGTTCCTGCCTTTGAGGGGAGATGGGGAAAAAAAAGAACATTTTAATAATCTCCAGCAGCTGAGCTTAACCCTTGAGTTGGGTCAGTCACTTGTGAAGGTCACAAGTGAACTCTGARCTGATGAGCTTCATTATTTAAAGCTTGGGGAATGGGCTGATGTGTGTGTGGATGGCTTTAGCAACTTTGCCAGTGTTAAATTTGATTTTTTCCAGAATATTAAACCAGGTTATAGTAAAAAAAAATATACTGATATTTTTAGGAAGCTTCCCCCTCATGATGGAGGTTGATAGGACAAGTTCWAGTCTGTGGATTTTTTTTCTGTGTTTTCCGAGGGTTGTTTTAAATTAAGAGAAATTTTAAGAAATGAATTCAGAAATTAATGATGTGCTGAGTACTTTCATGACTTCTGAAGAATGGAAAAATGGCTTCAAAACCAAAAAGAGGCTTTACTGAATTTCATCTTTAGTGGCATTCTACAATTAATTMATCTTCAATTAGAAAAATCCTGTTAAACACATCCTAATCATGTCCCTGCTTCCAGGTGTGTCCCTGTTAAGCAGCATTTGGGACATTTCAGGCATTTTTAAACCATTTTTATCTCCTGTTTCTCCTTTGAAAAGCTTCCCTTGCGAGTCCCAGCAGCCTGCAATATATAGTACCACGAAGCGTGGCACTTGATAATTCATGTTGCTACTCTGGGAAAAAATCTTTTAAACTTACAATATCCAAACTTCAAGGCCAGTGACATATGCAAGTGGTGACCTGGCGGGCGGGCACAGCCACTGATCCCACTCCATAAATAACAGAGCTCTTGGCACTGCCTGCAGGGAGCTGCTGCCAGTGGGAGCTGCTCTCAGCTCATCTCAGTGCTGGGGATGTGGCTCTGGT